AGGCTAGATAGTTGTTTAACATGATACAATCTTGCTGTCTTGATTGCCTTGACAAAGAAAATGTGGGGTCTGTTATGGTGCTACACAGGAAATCCTTAAGAAACTAGAGAAGAAAAACAAAACAGGACTGAACAGACACAGCAGGAGAAGAACAACTGTAAAAGTGGGCAAAGGCCCCATTCTGGGGGAGATGCTGGTGGCTTATGCTGAAATGGAAACGCCTGAGCTGGAGGAAGGGTTCTCAAGAGCTCATCTCAGGATTGATTTTATTCAATATATTCACTGCAGATACTGGCATAAGACATTAAGGATGGACTGGAAATAGTTGTTGTTGAAACAAATGGGTAAAATGAAATCTTGTACAGCAGGTATGTGATAACCTTCAAGCCTAGGGTAACAGAAAGCAGATAAAATTAATGTTTCAAAGTGCAAAATGAGAGTAAGAGACCAGTAGCAAAAAGGTCCAATACACTCTGGAACCTCATTAAGTAAAATTGCAGGAGAGGAGAAAATTGCAGGTATATCAATAGATTGTAGATCAATTAGGTGCCACTGGTATGATTTGACAGCAGAAGAAAGCAGATACATCTCTGATGTATCAGAAGTGTTTCTTAGAGAGCAGACATTAATGTCATGGTACAAAGCATCAGTTAGACTTTACTGGAGTAGCAGAGCATCGTCCTTGTCCAACAGGGATTTATTTAGCCTTGAACAGGTACTATAAGAACACACAGGAATCAATGGAATGAAAAAACAGTATCCCAGGAAAGGGCAAAGGAGATTTGTTGGGATTCAAGAAAAGGTTGAGAGAGGACGCATTTGTACAATACATGAAAGAAGAAAAAGAGCTGCTGAAATGAAAGGGAAATGCTTGTGTAAGTAAACTTGGGCCTAAATGATTTATGGCTACATTGTGGTTGGAAATTAAGAAGCAATGTTGCAGGGTGAGCGTCCATAGCAGCTGAAACTTGTCTCAACCTGGGCTGTCACCTGGCTACGTTTCCTCTCCCTCCTTGCTGTAGCCTGTGACATGCTAGTGGCACACGCTGTTTAGACCACAGCCAGATCTGCTGCCTGGGAGCTGAGGCAGCTCTGGTTTAGATTTCAGATGCTGTGGTTTCTGAAATACGGCTTCACATTCTTCAGGAACACGCAGTGAGGACAATAAAGCAAATTTTGAGATAGATCCCCTCAAAATGAAGAAAGATTAAATGAGTACCTGTGGTAGGAAGTCCTTTTTAGACCTGCATTTAGCTGGAACCAAATCCTTATACAAGGGTCAGCCACAGGGACAAAACCCAGACAAATCTAGCAGGCAGGAGTTGATGCATCCATCAGAGGAGACTCCAGCTCTCGTTCAGATGCGACTGCAGTGGCTCCATTTTTAACAAGTTCAAGTCTTACTCGTGTTAACAGGCAACAGACAGAAAGCAAAACTGTTGAGTAAGGCACTGGCCGTTTGCACTTGGCATACACCTGTGCACACAAGCACACAGAGTGAATGGTGAGAACACTACTCCCATACCCTGCTTGGTAAAAAGCCTGCGATCTAGGAGTGTGCAGGTGCTATTACAGATTTCACATTTAAACAGGTATCTTTCTATATGCGTTAAAGGACTAAAATATTCCTGTAGTTATAATGAGCAAATCTGGCTTTTGCATTTCTAAATTCATTGAAGTAAGGAAATAGGAAGGCAAAAAGATGGAGCACAGAATCTGTCGTGAGCAGTGGGGAGCAGCACTAACCTGTTCCCTTTGCTTTACTGCCAGTAAAAATGCCAGTGCGTGTCCTGGAGGCAAGCCTGTTTGCAGAGCTCCAACAAGACTGCACGGCTGTGCTGCCCAGGGCAGTGTAGCTTATAAAAGGATCCTTTGACTCAGACTGTGAGAGTATCTTGTTAGATGTGCTGCAAAATTAATTCTCTTGGTTACCAAGGCAGAGTGAACCTTGATGCAGTTTTTAATATGGCATTGCTTCTTCCCCTTGCATTTTTATGGCTTAGAGCAAGATGTCCAAATGGCTGAATCGAGTCCATTAGGTAGTTTTACTGGACCCCTAGAAAGGTTGCTGGTCAGCAGGCTGACCCCTGGCACACAGTTGTGTTTGTGTGAGTGTTTTTGGGTTGATAACGAGTTAGTGCTGCATTCTCCATTTAAGGAATTTAATAAGTTGTTCTCTCAGACATACAGAATTTGTTGTTCTTTCATTACGGCAACTGCGCCAGTTTAAAAGAGGTGGGGGAAGACTCTAAGTGAGTTTTAGCATTTACCGAACAAAGAGAGATGTTGAACAGAAACGGCTGAGTAACTTTACAGTGTGCTTACCACTCTCCGCTTGTTGATTGTGGCAGTATGCCTGACTGCTGGGGTGATACAAACCCATATGATATTTTCACTTACCTCTGGGCAGCATTTCTGGGACAAGAAAGCTGTGTACACAGCTATGGGATGTAGTTAATTGCATCTGGAAATACACAATCAAAATTCTTAGGGTGTGAGTTGGTTGTGAAGCATCTAACCAGAGTGGTTTCTGCCAGGCAGAGGGAGCAATTCATGAGAGTTTTTTACAGCAGCAATGCCTTCTGCCATTGAGATGTCCTCAAAAAAAAGGGAGAGGGGGAAGTGACAGTCCATTGCCAGGGTATTATCAAAAGCCTTTCCTACTTTCCACTATGAATGGCAAAAACTTGCTTCTTTTCATTTATCTCACAGCAGGATCCCTCCCTGGGATGTGTGTGCGTAACTTGCCCTTGGAAACATTAGGAAAACTGATGTTTTGGTTTTGAGATGCTATTTCTTAAGGAGTGATCATATGCATCAGATCAGCATATGTAATCCTATCATTTTACTGTGGTTGCAACAGTGATAACAGTGGATCCATGGCACTCTCTCCATCTTCTTTTATCTACATTATTATCTTGCCTGGCTCTATAGTGCAGACACTTTGCTGGTAGAGGCATTCATCTATGTCTCTTGTGAACCATTATCCTACTGTCTTTCCTTTCTCCCCACTGCTCACGATAAGAGCGTCCATTAGGGAAGAAGGAATTACTGCTGTCAAGAAACTGTAGCACTGGAAATGTTACTACAACCTGCAGGTTTACAAAGATTGTCTGCAGAAATTTATCCTTGCTCTTGAAAAAGCAAAAAAACCTGCTCCCAGGTCTGCAAATCTCTACAGAAACCCTGAGGCCTGGGTGAGCAGCACCGAGGCTGCCATCGGCCACCGCCACTCATTCCCAGAGCTCGCCCTATTCCTCTTCAGTCCCAGCAATAAGGAAGCAAAGCTGTAAGCTCAAATGTCCAGCAGTTGCTTGCCAGAGGATCCTTCCCGAGTCCCAAAACTTAAACAGCTGTCTTCTTCACAATCACAGTGGAAAGCAACAAACTAACGCATTTATTAAATGATAACTGTTTTTTGGGGACAGTGGATAGATGTATAAACTCTATACAGTTCATATATGAGCACCTGTATTGTACATAAACTGCTTGAGGGAAGGAACATATTCATTCCCTTTATGGTTACACAGTCTGTGATTTTACCGTAATGCTATAACATAAAGCTCAGATAACATTCACCACTACATTTTCAATAATATTATCACTATGTACTGGTTAACTGAGGCTCTCAAAGTAAAAATGGCTTGTCCTGATCCCATTGTGAGTCAGTGGGAGGTCCAGGAGTAGAACATAGAAATCCTCTCCCAGCGCCACACTCGGAGCACATCACAACTTTATTCCCTTCCCTTTCTGGGCTCCAGCATTTCCTCAGCAACACTGGCTTCGTTATGACTGATTTACTACTGCTGCAGTTCAATCTGGAAGTTGGTAAAAAGATGAAAGAAGTGCAAGACTAATTGTTTTTCTTCTTATTACTCAGATATTTTTGTCTGAGATGCATGGGGGTATGCTCTGCTGGATCATGCGGACAGGGGTAAGCCTGACGCATGGACTTGTCCGATGGGGAGGGAACCGCAGTCCTGGACCATAGCAGAGGAACATGGCGCTGAGCCGCAGAGGGTGCAGAGCCCCGGTAGGAGATAAGAGCCCTGTCTTTGGGGCAGCAAACTCCCTCCAGCTCCATGACCTCGCCTGTCTAGTGTGGCTGACTGGAAATCACAGATCACCTTGGCTGGCTCCATTTACCACATAGGGTCATGGAGCAGGACAGGCTGCAAAAATGCCCAAAGTCACAAGCGAATCCCGTGTATTGCACAGGAGATTGGGTGGTGAATGCAAAAGCAAGGGAAGGAGCACTCATTGGCAATCGTCTCAAACACAGACTTGCAGTTTCCTGCAGATCCGATGTCCACATTCCCAAGCTCTCCACATGCTTATGTTACTATTTTTTTTTTTTAAAACCCTGTCATGTTGAATTTACACCAGAGACAGACTGATTCAAACAATGAGAAGAGTTGTTACAGCAATCCCAAAGGAAACTTTAACAGCACACCAGAACCCAAGTGTTGTCTAATGGCAAACTGTCTCCCATTAAAACACCCACCACTGACCAGGTGGCACAACCACTATCCCGTGTATTGATATTCATACAAGCACAAGATTGCTTCACTTTTCCACTTGGATCTAGAGATGCAGGTCACCGTCTTACTGAGAGTCCTGTGGCAGTGAGTTGACTCTGACCATTCTTTTTAGAAAATGTATGGGAAGAGGAGCTGTTGTCCTTAAGGACTACTATACATCTCTGCTCTGCAAAGATCCCACACCCAACGCTAAAGGCGACTTCCCCAAAAAGACAGCTAGCGCTGCTTTCCACGCAGCAAAATTTGTGACTCACTTCACTTCTTCAGTATTAAAAACCACACCTGATTCAATCAAAACTTTTACAGATTTTCACTTTGGAGAAACCTCACCCATACCTGTGCCCTTAGCCCTGCCCCAGCTGCCATTGCTCTGTGCAAATCTAAAGGTCCATTTGGATTTTCCAGAAAGTTAATTTGCTCCATATGTCTGACAGCAGGCGTCTGGTAAACCTGCAAACTATGCACACAAATCAGCTCAACTGTTCATCTTTCTGTCTTCAGTGCAAGGAGTTCACCTTCCACACTGGCTATGAGGTGCTTGTACAGCGGCTGCTGGATGGGAGGAAGATGTGCAAAGATGTGGAGGATTTGCTCAAGCAGAGGTAAGAAAATCATAGTGAAAGAAGTGTGAACAGCCTCAATTTTCTCTCCTGTTTGGCATCTGGAATGGAATAGTAGGCTGTTTCTAAATTTGGTAGTGATACTAGTTTACATAGAAAAGCCTGAGTGATTTGAATCCTAGCCTTTTGACGTCATTTGTGAAGGTAGATAACAAATAGAAATTTTGAAGATTTGAGAAGAGAAGAGAGGGGTGAAAGAATCAGAAATCCAGAGGTCCGTTAAGAGTGAGGTAGTTATTGGTCCAGAATCACACGATAGCACATACATCCACAAGTAGCATTACCAAATTTCCCCTTTTACAGAGAGCATTTTTCTTTCTCTTTAAATGTGTTGTTGCCATAGGCACAGTTTCAGTTTCCTGCAACTACCAAAAATAGGCCATTTTTCAAATACAAAGCTACACAAGACACTACCAAAAGCCTTTCCCAGACACCCAAGACAGCCCACATCATTTGCCGACCTTACTAGAGTTTGAATAACAATGTTGTAGATTATGTCCATCCTTTACATGCTTCTTGGGGGCCCCTCAACAACAGCTATGGACATCTGACGCTTTTGTAGGTGAGAAAATACATATTACACAGCTGCTCTGACTCCTTTGCCATTCATTTTTGTACTTCCAACTTAGAAAAAAATATGTGAAATTTGGTTCTGTTTTCAAGTGGCTGGGTTTCAACAGTTTCAACATGTAGCATGAGGCACATACATGCTCATGCATGACCTGTAGGAAAGACCACACAATACGGGTTATATATTCAGCAGGTAATCCTAGAGCAGTTCATCTCAGAACTGTCTCCTTATGAATATTGCTCTGCCTTCATCAGTCACAGCCTGCTTTTTCTTCCCATGCTGTCCCCACCTAGTTGTCTGGTTTTAGGTTGGCTTTCTGAAGGCTACTTTTCAAGGACTGGGACTTTCAAGAGGATGTGAGACGTCAAACTGAAAGTTGACTATTTCACAGAGGGTGAAGAGTCTCCCATCAAAACCTGAACCTATTTGAATTGCTTTTCTTGACCACCAGTGGAAGCATATTTTATTGCCGCATGTGACTCAGTCCTGAAGTCACATCTGTCTGATGGTAGCTTAGGGTTAACTGTTTAAAATAGCTCCTTTGTGACTCATAACTTACAGAGATCAGAATTACATTGCAGGCTTCAGGCAGGCCCTACACTGCAGCATGCATCTGATGCTATATATGCTTGTGTTTCTTTCCAAAACATATTAGAGAGGTTTCTGCAAGTTGCAGGGTAAGGTTCTTCCTGGTTTGTGGACTTTCCACAAAGAAGAAAAAATGCACATACAGTAATTTTGCAGATCTGAAAGCTACACGAACAAATGTTTCCATGAACTTTTGCACACCCCCAAAACATTCCAGTGAGCGTGCATACGTGTGTGTGCTTTGTGTGTATACGCATGTTGGGGGAAGAGGAAAATGAGAAAAGATAGTGGGCACTGAATTGCAGAAAGAAGGTATTATTTCCAGTTTATTTCTGGAAGATGTTTGTTTCAGCTTGTCCTCATGTCATTCATGGGAATAACCTAGGAGGAAATCAAAACATGTGATGGATCTATGTTCCTAGAGGCTGCCCATACCGTGGGCTTCATGCCAGAATTTCAACAAGGACTCCCGCAGCAGCTGCCCCGAGTCCCAAAACCCACTGCCCTGGCTACACTAATACTTTATCAGTTTTCCACCCAGGTCAATTACTTCTGCTCACAAATACCTCTGCCTGGTCCAGAGGAGGGCCTAAGAGATTGGGGAGTGAGAAAGCAGTTGTATTCCAGAACAAAGCCCCGGATTTAAAACACAAAATATGCTCCAGCTCTTGATGGCTGCAGGGAAACCTAGAAGCTGTGTGCAAGAGTACCGGAAAGTGGGAAAGGCAGCACCAAGATGTAAAATCAAAGTCTCTGACACAGAAATGTTTCTTGTTATTAAAATTAGAAGAAAAATAATCTATTCTGCTTCTACAGTGTTATGGGTCTCTGGAGCATATTTCCATTTTGATGAATTTTCATTCCTCTAATACGAAAACGAAGCAGTACCTCTGTGTGGCCTGTCACCATATTTTGCACCCCGTTCTTCTAGAGGAATCCCTAGCAGAGATGTAGGAACACCCCACTAAAACGCAGCAATTTCTAGTGCAGGATGACAGCAATTAACTAATTGCATGTGCAGTGTTAGACACACGGGAGCCATGGACAGAGCCAGGAGCAGCCTCCACTCCTGGCTGCGGCAACCGTACGCTGCTGTACGACCAGCGCTACTATTCCACCAGCCTGACGGATCTCCTTGGACTGGGGGAAAGTCCCCAGGACGAGCCTGCCTCAGGTCACAGAAGATGGTTGCAAACCAGTGAGATTGCACCAGAGCCACCGGTACAGCTGGCTACAACACAAGGTGTTCACAGCCATCAGATGCAGAGGAACAGTCGAAAGGGCGGTTGGATGTTCTCAAACAGAGACCCACCCCAACGGCTGCTGTGTTGCAAAACTGAAAGACCAGCCCTCAAACCGCTGGAACTCAGTAAACAGCAATAATAAAGCACAGAGCGGCTGAGTGGGAAGATGGATGTAAGAACAAACCAGCGGGGTTGCATGGCCTTGCACCTACATCAAAATTCCTTTTTTGAACAAAGACTACGTTTCTCTTAGGTGCCAAGTTTCAGGCTCAAAACTGTTTGAAATGCTTTGAAACCCCTTTTGAGAACTGGACTTACCCTAACCAAAATCCTACCCCCCAGCCCCAAATCCTAGCACCAGGCTATCTGTTCATTATTTATTATTGACCATTCAGTAGTTTTTAGCAGCTACTCAAAGACTGAAAACTCAGTTCAGCCCCAGTCTTGCACCCAGGAGAAAGGAAATAACATATTTAGTACAAATACTTTCTTTTTTAAAATAGAGAATAGAAATTTCTTCCAGAGTTGGGGGAGGGGAAAACAGCAAAGAAATAATTGTTTTTTTTTATTAACCATAGAAACAGAACTACTTTCCCAAGTCACTAGTTACAGTTCCCCGTTAAATGAGATATCACATCATATTGTCCTCTCCATAAAACTGTCACAGCCTCACCTTACAAATAACAAGGCTCCTCCCCCCTCTGCCTCCATTGCAGCTGTTCAAGCAGCACCTCATGTTTCTAATGGTTAGAAATTTTCTTGCTACTCCCGGCTCTCATTTACTTACAACCTCTCTTAAATGGATCCTTTGGAACCTGCTCTTCACTCCCCTCCCAGCCTTCATTTTGATGGATCAAGTCAGCCATCATCTTTTCGGTTTCCGAGCATCTTCACTACACTTCTGTACACCTCTTCTTCTAATTGAATCCAACTTTTTGGGGACTGAGTTGTACATGGCACTCCACAGTAATCAAAGCCATGGAGACAGGCTTCATTTTCCCCTCATTTTTTCTACAAATAGCTCACCCAAAATATTTTGGAGGTAACTAATAGCACTAGGATTGAGGAGATAGAGAAATGAAAGAAATCGTATTTCTCATGTTTTGTACCTTGGATACAATTACAAGATTTGTGTAAACACGATCCTGGTACCACTAAGAGAAACTGAGTAAGTTTTTCTTTTAACAGAGCACAAGCAGAAGAGAGATACGGGAAAGAGCTGATTCAAATCGCCCGAAAAGCAGGAGGACAAACAGAAATCAAGTAAGGAATTCCTTTATTATTAGTGCAAACAAAAGCATTTTGGAAGCAATATCAGACGCCTGTGTTTTGCCTATGAATGGTGTCATAAGCTGCTCACTTCAGTGCATTACACAGCACTTCACAATGTACAGGAAAAATGGGGAAACACCATAGTCCTTCAAATCAGGATTCACAAAATCTCTCTTTGGGAATTGCCAGTAGGTCTTTACTGAGAAATTTTTGAATTTCAGGATTCCTAACTATGTTTAATATTTGCTTCCAAAAGCAAACTAAGTCATGGGGAAAAAAGGGAAAGGAAAAGGTTGTTAAATGTTTAGTATGGTGGTCTGGCAATTCTGGGAAGCTGGTAGACACTGAGATACTGTGACAGAATAAACACAAAGTGCAAAGACACCAAAAGTTAGCTTCTGCAGCAGGAAAAAGGCTTAGCTTAGGAATACAAACTTTAAACTTCTTTGAAGGGACTTCATTTGAAACAAATCAATGGAACTACTGAAACATACTAAAATGATGTATATTTTTCTCTGTCTCCTCTACTACTATCTTATATCACGTATAAATTGTGTTGGGAGGGGAAGATATATGTTGGCATGGAATTTAACTTAATAAACACTGCTGATAAACTGCTGCTATTATTGATGGTAGCAGCAATAATGAGACATTTTGTCATTATTGTAACAAGTAATAATACAGTAATAAGGTGGCAGAGGATGAAGATTTGAGGTCACAGAAGACAAGTCTGAAAGAGAAGACCTCAATCTAAACACAAAACAGCTCTATTGATCCCTGGGGCTTGCTACCCTCATCCATCCCGTATCTCATTTCTTAATTGCAGTCTCCTTTTTACATTGATTTATCACACTCAGTGTAAGCGTGATTTCCTGTTCATATTTTATGGGAAAACTTGACCCCAAACCCTTGCACCACCATGGCATGCAAGTGCCAGGCAACCACCTGTAGCACTTGCTATCAATTTGATGGTGGCACATCCAGGTTGACAGCGAAACTGTTGCATTAACCCAAGCACTTGATAGTGCGGAGAGCACTGAGGCTCACTCCAGAGAACGTGCCAGCCTCTCCTCCCCTAGTGCTCCATCTCTCCCTTGCCTCTGAGCAATGCAGTAAGGTATAGCAAGATTTCTAGCAAAGGCTGCTGGAGATGGCTTCTACATTCCTGGTGTCTCCATTCACAGACCTAATTGGAGAAAAGGAAGGAGAATAAAAATTGTTTTGAAATTAAAATAGCAGATTAAGGGTGGATGGCTTCTTCCCAAACCAAAGGCTTAGATCAGCATTCCAGGATTAACGAAAGGCTCCACCTAAATTTCTTTACTGGCAATGCAGGGCAGGCAGAGTGAACGTGTTCAGAAACAGACAGCTTTGGCTGCCCTTCTGTGACTTAGTGGATAATCCACGGGTCTGACTTTTCCTAAGAGATTATAAGAGCTTGATTTAGAGGCAGAGCCAAGTCCCAGAGTTGGGATATGGATCCAAGTTGGGGGAAGTTTGGACTCGGGCCCAGCTCTGCTTTGATCCATCAATTTTATAGCTTGGCATAGAAAGAAGGCTGAATATACCAACAAAGCATGCTGCAGAGCTGATTTACTATGTTTCCATAAACCCCGCCTGGTCTGGGTAGCAACCAGCTTTGCACTGATATTTTTATCAGAGCAAATGTCTCACTGTAAGTGTTCCAAAGCAGAGAGAGGACACTTTGCTTTCTGTCATTCAGCATCTTCTGGTTGTTTAAGGAGTTACACAGATGGACAGTGAAGGGCATTTGTCCAGAGTAAACACTTTAAAATCAGAAAAAACTAGGGTCTAATCAGGGCTGGAACAACTCATGAAAATGAAATATTTGGGTTTAATGCCTTATAATTTTTGACGTGGTATGAAGTTTCCGTTTGTTTATATGACATTGATTGCTGACAGCAGTTCTGGTCCCAAGGTCAGTCCTTCAGAGGGACCGGAGGGAGGGAACCTATGTACTACCTGTAATAAGAAAAGCTTGAAAGGACTATGCTACAACTATCACTGTGCATTGCTTCAAGTGCTTCCTCTTTATAGGACTCCCTATTATGGACTAGCACACTGAGTCCTAATAGTCTTACAAGTACTTGGCAGGCTGAACAGGGCTGTTCACATCGTTAAATGTAGCTTTGGGTAGCAGTATTTCTCAAATAAAGTCTAATGAAGGCGTTGTGCAGGTATTTGTACCTAAAACTTGCATTTGACAATCACCAGGAAAAAAAAGTAACTTCCAGGTTTTTTTTGTAGAACATTTTTCAGATCTTCCTGTCCATGCTATGTATTGCAGAGGAGCAGGAATTACTAATTTTAGATCACTCACTCATTTTCTTGCTAATGCAAAATTATTATCCTCTAGTCTTAAATTCAGTTATCTTTTAAACATCTCGGATACTAAGGCTTTCTGTCGCTTCTCCTGGGAAATTATTTCACACCCCAGTAGTTCTCAATATCAGGAAGATACCCGATACACTTTCAAAAAGTCGATAAAAATAACATAGAAAAATCCATCCGCAACAGCCACTCAAAAACTTCCAGTATCACAAAATACCCAGAAGACCTTAAGAGAAATAACTGCAAGCCCAATTAATACTGTTTAGCACAACTTCTGAAACTAATAGATTGGCTGCAAAAACCTCCCATCACTCCACCAGATCAAAGCGATGCTCTGTAGCTGCTATGGAAAGCAGAGCAGGAGAGAAGCGGCTCAAAGAGCGAGCAGCAGTCCCTGCGCAGGGGCCTGCTGGCAAAGCGTCTGTGGCAAACCCGCGCTGCCGGCCAATGCCAAATCTGCTGATCTGGAAATGGCGGCACCACTACATGCGACGGGCAGCCCAGCGGGGCCTCACGTGCTTATATCCTCCTAGTACCAGTGTGAACAGCTCTTTCCAACTCCAGAAATGCGGTCCCTGGCAGCCGCCCGGCTCTTCTAATCTTAAACTCTCTGAGGTTAAAAAAAATGTAGAGATAAAACCCCCACCTTTCTCCTGTGCTTGGAGAGAAGAGGGTCTGCTCAAGAGAGAAATTAGGCAGAGGTGAGGAGTTACTGCCCAGCTTGTTACTTCAGCACAGTCAGGACCAGCACGAAACAAGGTGAAGAGAATAAGCGCGATGAGTAAATACAAGCAAACGGGGAGAAGCCTGGAGAAGTCTATGGTACACTGCACCAGGTAGTAGCCATCACTGTAGAAAACAGTTCTCTCCCAAGCCTCCCCCATATTTTATAAGTTTTTAGTTTTGAATCAAAGAAAAGAACAATTTCAACATTTTTTTTTAGGCTCTTCTCTTTTCCCCCAAACTTTTGCTTCAGCTGGAACAAATTGCTGAACTCAGCTAAATGCGTAAGTAGATTCAACTGCCCATTTTTATTTACTGAAAGACACGGATGAAGAAATATGCTGCTGACCCAAAA